ACTAATATAGCTTATCTTAGGTTATACAAGTGTGTAATAAAACTTTGGGCATGCCAGCGGCCCATGGCTTGTTAAGGGCTTGAGCAAATATATGAAATATGAAGAAATACTGAATCATCCAGAATCCTTTATAGTATAAATATTTATTTTCTTGTCATACATCAGAAGGTGGACAGAAGGAAATAAAGTGCATTTTAGGAGTTTTAAGCTTTCAAGTAAAAGTTCCTTCCAGTCTGATCCAGTCATGCTGACTGAGGGTTTGTTGGGATGTTCATCATGCTGAGGTTGTAATGGGTTAAACTCGAGCAGGAAGACAGAGAGATACAAGTCAAAATATAACAAGAGAAAAAAAAATATCCGGAAAGCAAGAAAAGAAATCAGGAATCTTCATATCACATGGCTGTCTGTGTGTGTTTTATACTCTCATATTTACAGGTGTCACTTGTTCATAGCACTTATAATACGGATGTCTTACAAAAGAAGCAGCCTGATTATCAGCCACTGTGTGTGTTGTGTATGTGTGTGTGTGTAAGCAGGCCTAGAAACGAGTGCATCTGTGCAGGGGAGGAACTCAGAAGGAAAAATAACAGTAGTAATTATATGTAATTCAGCCCTGCAACAAAGCCTTTACAAATGACAATACCTTCTTATACACAATACTGTGCAAAGGTCAAAGGCTACCTTTCATTTACTCAATTCATAGTCAATATCAGACTTTGCAGTGTTTAGTGTGTCCACCCTTTGACTTTATTGCAGCTTTTGGACTTTTCAGTCTGCTGGGACCTCCAAAGTTCAGTCTTGGAAGTTGGTTGCATTTCCCGCTTCAAATGATCCAAGTAAACCAAAACACATTCAGTGATGTTGAGGTCTGGATTCTGGGGTGACCAGTCCGTTGTTCTGAGAACACCAGCAGCTTCTTTATTTGACTTGCAAATTTCTTCTTTTTTGTCGGTTTCATTTTCTCAGTAATAGTGTCTTGACAGCTACACATTCTTTTAGACCCAAAGTGTTGAGTTGTCCTCTCACAGTGGAAGGATGGACAGAAACATAGATCTGAGGCAAGAGTGGAAGCATTAAGTGCTTTTATCTGATGGTGACCATTTTAGGGGTCTACCAGTTCTTACACGGTTGTTGGAGTCACGTTTTCTCTATATCTTTTAATATTTTTTGAGCATCAGTTTTGATGTTTTTTTACTTATTTTCTTTTGACATTCCCTTTTTATTTTTTTAATTTTTACCCGATTTTTCTACCCCAATTTAGTCGCCTCCAATTCCACCCGTTAGTTAGGACTCCCCCAATCACACGATGCTATCGACGCTAGGAGGGTGAAGGCTAACACAGGCTTCCTCCGAGACCTGTGAAGCGCCACCGCATCTTTTCGAACTGCCGCTCACGCAACGTCACTGGACAGCCGAACGCGCTCGGAGGAAAGCGCCAACCGCCAGATCTGTTAATTCAGCTAACAGACGCCTGCGCTGACTAACATAGCGCTCCGCTATGGGGGGAGAAGGAGGGGCCATCCTACCCACCCGGAGAGAGCGAGGTCAGTTGTGCTCTCTCGGACTCCCGGCTACGGATGGCTGTAGCATCAGGCGGTTGCGCCACTCGGGAGCGACATTCCCTTTTTTATACAAGTGAATCACCTCAGAAGTATCTCCTGAAAGATTAATAATTTGTCCTTACGGACATTTTGTCTGGAAATTAAATAAATGAAGGGTATTTAACCTTTGCACAGTACTGCATATTTCACATTCTTTCTCTTTCTCTCTTACACACAAATAAATGTACGGTTACACACAAATAATAGTTAAGATCATTCAGGTAAAGGGAAAAAGTTTATCCCTTTGTGGTAGAGATGGCACTGATCTGATATCGGGTATCGCTGTTGAGCCGATATCAGCAGAAAACTGGAAATCGCAGGGAAAGGAATGAATCTGATTCATTTTAACCCTGAAATTGCACACACACACACACACACACACACACACACACACACACACACACACACACACATACTGTGTGTTGTGATCTTGTAAGCTGTGTGTTTCTTCCTTTTCTTACTTTAATATTATAGTTCAGAAGTTTGGAATCACTTCAAATAATAATAATAATTCATGTTCAACATGTTCAACATCAACATACACTTATACAGTGTAGATTGAAATGTCATTAACTAGACACCAGAATGTGAACTGATGCTTTATCTACAATTTAAAGTATTGACAAGTTATGACCTGGTAAAAAAAAAAGTTATTAAACTATAAACTGTAATAATCCATTTATAGTAATTTCTACAGGGAAAGACCATTTACAGTTTTTTTGTCTTTAATAGTAGAGTGTTTTGTAATTTTCTTACAATTTTATTTTTTTTGAATATTGGCTATTTGATATCTGGATATTAATTTCAATCTGGATCATACAGCATTCTCAATTATTATGGAATCATCTACAGCATCATAAAAAATCCTTAATTTTTGCAGCTTCCTACAAATTGTACACTGTCAAAAAGGCTACATTTTTGTTTATCATTGTGCAAACGATGCAAATGTATCCTCAAAGGTGCAAGAATGGCCTTAAGATCCAGCTGTTTACTAGGGCTATCATAATCATCACAATCGTCATAATCAACTGATGACTAATTGTCATGTAAAAAATTGTGATTAACAATGTAGATTTTTTTTCCAAAAGTGGCTTGATCAGCTGATTAACCACCTTGCCTCCTAGCTGTGTTTATGTGAAACTTAGTAGCTTCTACAGTTACACATAAACAAAAAACATTTTTTCTTGAGAGTGAAAATATATGCAAAAAACACTCATTCTGCAAAAAACATTATATTAGCCACACAGCTGACAAATAAACAGCTATAAACAACAAAGACCATAAACATTACACATTTTAGAGCACCAAGTTAGAACTTGAAGTCTCACATAATGTATCATAATGAACGCATTTACTGATTTCTTTATTTACAAATAGTTGCCTCAACCCAACGTGCCCGATTTGCTTGTTGCGGTATAATGTAGTTGTGAAATCTAATGACTGTGGAAATCTGTTGCAGTCAGCTTAACTAATTGCAATCATGTCAAATAATTGGTAATAATTAGGTACACTACATTAGGTACACTACATTCACTTTCCTAGCGGAAAGGGTCAATACAGGGTGTATGGAGTCAATGCAAATATATCGATGGATTATGGTACAATTATTTTCCCTGACTAAACATGTTAAAGCCTTACCCTTGAAGGTACCACCTCAGTGATGTGAATAGTACCACTCCAGTGACAGTATGGTACCTTTTTTCTGAGAGCATATATCAGTATCATATTAGAATAATTTTATACATGTATCTGCAACAAAACTGCTTTTCTATTATTGAAAATAATGATTCCAAACTTTTGAATCGGTATCAGACAATACTCAACGTTTCGATATCAGCATTAGAAAAGAAAATGTGATATAGTGCCATCTCTATTTTGTGTTGTCATCCTATCAAAACCTAAAGTAAATGCAATAGCTGCATCAACATCACAACAAATACTGTTTAACACAATGCTGCCTAATACAAAGTTTTCCCTGGGTTAAAGTAGCACAAAAAGGGGCAAAAGTGCGTTTTTGTTTCAGTTGAATATTCAGACTCAGAAAGACACCTTTTGTTTTCTCCCACACATACTGTTCCCAGGAATCTCTGTGCGTTATTTTTCCCTGAGCATCACACAAACCCATTGCATCCCTTAACACATAATACACTCCATTCGGCACAACATATATCACCTCCACCCACGAATATCCATAAACATTCACTAAAAACACATAACCGTACCATTTCATTCACATTATCATATAAACAAAAGAGCAATGGCAAAAAAATTAAACAGAAACCAGAGATCCTTGGCCATTTATGATTCGGTATGGATGATGACCCTTTCAAGACAAATCAGAAACCTTCATAAACCTCAGTGCACATGTTTTATCAGATCCTGAATGCCTGTATATTTTTTGTATTTCTCAAATGTGAGGGAACCAGCCTAAAGTGAGATGGTTAATAAACAGCAGTGGATTAATTATTGGCCTATTCTCTTCTGCTGGGTTTTTATATCACCATTCATCAATTTAATGGAGAAGAAATGTTGAGCTGTGGCTACAATGAACAATATAACTTGCAATCTAAAATCTATAAGCGTGGTCAATTGGTTCAGATGTTGAATCAAAGCCTTCATTCATTCATGTTCCTTTGTGGGCATCACAAATATTTTATCATCCTCCCACCCAAGTCCATCAAATGCAACTGTAGATGAAAATTCTAAAATAAAAAGCTAAGAGTGCCTTAAATGAAATATTTTTTTTTTTCTTTTTTTTGGAGATTCACTCTTACAACTGGTTATATACAGTACTGGTTGCATTAAACTTTGTGTCTTAATATATATCCTGTGCTTTAGCTTTTCTCTGGCATTTTCAAGTGCAAGTTTTCTCCTTTGGTGACATTAATGTTATTTGTGCTATCCATGTTCAATAATTTGTTGGCTTTGCAGCTTTGAAGCATGTTTAGTCCTTAGCCTAGATAATCTCATCTCCTCCAAAGATGTACTTCAAATTCAATTTGAAGCATCATCCTGGGCCTTTTTGGTGCCTTGCAGAGTTTCTCGAAATCAAGTACAGAGATCAAAAATAACCCATGTGGCAAGACCTCATGAGTCAAGTGACCCCTTAGGGTAACAGAAACCAGCAGGATCAAAGGTCAATCTCATTCCCCATGTCTAGCCAGACACCTCTCTTCTTCAGAGAGCATGGGAACAGCTTCCACAGAAGCAGTGTAGAAACTGGAGCAGGAAAGGCGATAGGTTTTTGGATTTCTAACATAAATCCAACACAGAACAATGTGCAAAACACCAACAGAATCATCCCTTTTTCCTTTAGCTTCTTCATCTGAGTTATTCTAAAAAGAGGGGACATAGAGGCAGGATCAAGGGTTGGCATAGAAATGCCTCCATTCAATCATGTCATATCTCAGACTCGCTCTTGTATGTTAGCGGATCGAGTGGAAGAGTCGTCTGCAGAATATCAAACTCTATCTGGTTGTCCATATCCAGCATGCAAAGGACGTTGTTGCTGGATGTCATGGTCGCTGTGTCATGGAACATTTTCTGGAAGTCTTTTGGAACACTATTTGTGGTCATTGTTGCCAGATCTATATCCAGTGTTGCTAGTTCTTCCTTTAAATGATCGTTCTGCCTCTCCACCTCTTCTTCTTCCGCAGAGCAGAAAGCCACCTCGTTCTCATAGCAGAAGGCGCTAGGTGAGTGAGGTGGTCGCAAGCACTGCGTCCTGCGGCTAACAGGCGTCCCAGAGCGCGATGAGGTGGAAGAGCGATGACTTGCCAACTCGCTTAGCTCCTTGGCACTGCAGGCAGGGGTAGACGGAACCTCATAGGTCTTGTGGAAGCGAGCATAGTCCACTCGGTAGCGGTCACAGTCTTCAAAGATGACTGGCTCAAAGCGGTGACCCCAGAGGATCTCCCGAGAAAGGTAGGAGCTCCTTGCTTGCGTGGTCATGGCAGTAGCCTCCACCATGCCTTCCAGTATAACCACAATCTCAAAGTCATCTGTTTCCAGATCTGCCCGGCTCATCGCCCACAGCGGAGAGTCTTCATCAATCTCATGCACAATCACCAGTGGAGAGACTAGGAAAAGGCGGTCGATGCCTTCGTCATAGCCCACATTCAAGTCCATCTGCTCAAGTGGGATAAACTCACCCTCTGCTGTCACATATGGGCGGATCAACTGTGCCCGGACATGGGCCTCCACGATATGGCTTTTCCGGAGGTTCCCAACCCGCCACATGAGGCATAGCTTTCCGTCCCGCAGGGCAATAACAGCATTCTGCGAGAACAAAAGTGTCTGGTTTCGCTTTTTCGGTCGTGCCATCTTTGCCATAATGGTGCCAATCATGAAAGAGTCAATGATGCATCCCACGATGGACTGTATCACGACCGTCACCACAGCCACAGGGCACTCTTCAGTGACACAGCGCCAACCATAGCCTATTGTGGTCTGTGTCTCAATGGAGAACAGGAAGGCCCCCACAAAACCCTCCACATGCAGCAAACATGGCTTCCATGGCTTCTGTTGCCCCTCGCCTGTGCCTTGTATTTTCCGCTCTGGGTCAAAGTCTCCATGAGCCAAGGAAACACTGTAGAAGATCACTCCAAAGATCAGCCATGATGCCAGGAAAGTGATGCAGAAGATCAGCAGCAGGTAGCGCCAGCGGATGTCCACACAGGTGGTGAAGATGTCAGCCAAGTAACGGCGAGGCTTGTCCTCCATGTTGGAGAAGATTACGTTACACTGGCCATTCTTCTTTACAAACCGGCTTCGTAGTTGGCCCCGACCTGTGGTGGAGATCTTTCCATTGTAGGTATTCTCCATGGCCCCACCCAACCCGGAGCCACTGAGGGCACTGCCGGGTGAGGGCAGGCGGCTGGGCGATCCGTGGCCGTTGTGCAGCCCCAACGTGGAGATCTTCAGGCCTTCTTCATCTGGAGAGACGATGCTGTACCTGCGGAAAGAGGAAGCAGAGAGTTCTGGATTAGAAATACGAGTGAGAAAGGTGCAGAGAGAGTCACAGCTTGGCACTTGTGGCATTTGTGAGGGCTGAGAGACAGGAAGAGGACGAGCATTAAGACACCAGCCATAATCTCATCGCATCTAACTTGTTCTTTCCAGTGTCCCTCTAAAAGGACACGGAGTGACTAAGCATAGAGCGCTAACTCCGCAGACGTTAGCGGCTAAACCATGACTCATGCTAACTGCCGTGCTGCTAACGCAATCCGCGCTCAGTGAAATTCTTCACCAAACTTCACTGTTCCCACCCCAACTAAACTGGTCCCCAACAGAATCAAAAGTCATTGACCTTTAATCCTCCCCAGTCTCACTGGACCCTTGAGTTTCCCTTGTCTAATGGGAATAAATAGGGTTAGCATCAGGTATGTGTTACCTGGTGCTCTCCTCCAGAGAGGATTACTCTGGAAGGTGAGTTGTGTTTAGCCATATGATGAGGATTGCGGTCAGTGCAGATTTAGGGATTATAATCTGAGCCTTTCCCTCCCCTAGCAGCATATACACACTCATACAGGACATGTTAGCAGTGCAGTCCACTGCTTTCTGCTGCTGGTGGAAGAACAGGGGGAGTGTTTAGAGGGGCAGGGGGTTTAAGAGAGTGTGTGTCAGGGTGGTCTTTTGTTGGGTGTTTATGTGTTAATTATTGATTCAACATGATTTGGTCCAATAATCGCCATATGTCAGTCTGAACACAAACATTATTCATTCTGAATTTATTATGCATGCATTCATTTTTGAAAAGTTGCATTACTAACAGAAGTTACAAGGTCAGATGTTAGTGATATTTGTAACAACAATGTTTCAGCAAAAAACTGAAAATACAAGTTCTGTTCCAATCCTAGCCAATATCTGTGGGTGCATGGATCTGTCAGGGTTCTAGCTCTCTAAATAGACTGGTTTTGATATGAGAGAGAGAGTATAAGCCTATCCCCACCTACACACCCCACCACACAGATGCCTAAACAAAAAGCCTTATTCTTCCAGTTGTTACATTTATATATCTGGAAGAGTGAGGCTTCTCATTGTCTTGTATCTAAAATTACTCTCATATACACGCGTCCAAAAAAGGACAGTATGTGAAATGCTAACAAAAACAGAAAGCAGTGACTAACATTGTTAGTATACTTGTTTTATCTTTGAAATGTAAAGTTTATTGGAATGTTGTAAACATGCATTCATTTCAAATTTGATGCTTGGAACACATTCCAAAAAAGTTGAGACAGGAGCATGTTTACCACTGTGCTGCATCATCTTTCTTTTTAACAACAATTTAAGGAGAGGAGGAAACCAATTCATCTAGTTTTGAAAGCAGAGTTTTTTTGTTTTTTTTTTATGATGCCTTCACAGATATGCACATGCCATGGTTACTAACATGCTCCCACACCATCACAGACCCTGACTTTTAAACTTTGCGCTGGTAACATCTGGATGATCCTTTTCTTCATTGGCCCAGTGAACAAGGTGTCAGTTATTTTCAATAAATAATCTGAAAGGTTAATTCATCAGATCACAATACACATTTGCACTGTGCATCAATCCATTTCAGATAAGCTCAAGCTCATTTTTGAAGTCAGATGTATTTTTGGACGTGGGTGAGACATGGTTTCTGTTGTGCATAGTGCAGTCTTGTTGCAAAGAATTGTGTTTATTGGCAAGTTTTTCAAAGTATTCCAGAAATTATGTGCAGATATCCTCACAAAAGCATGCCGGTTAATGCATTATTGTCTAAGAGTTAAAGGTTCAATTGCTCTTGTTGTTTATACACTGAGATTTCTCCAAATTCCTTGAATCTTTTGATGATATTCATGGTAGAGAGTAAAATACCTTAAATCCTAATAATCACTCATCGAGGAATGTTGTTTTTAAACTGGCGAATTATTCACTGACACATTTTCAGCAGAGAGTCTCGTCCCATTTCTTATAAAGAACTAGGCCTTTCCTGGATGCTCCTTTTATGCCCAAGCATGATTGCTCTACCTGTTTAAGATGTTTTTTTATAAATTTCACTGTGTTCCTTGTCCTAAATTGACCATGTAACAACCTTTCGGAACCTCTTGCAAGCATACATTTTAGAACAAGCATGTATTTACAAGAAACAAAGTTGATAAGGTAAAATATTAAATATTGATGACAGTGGATTTACAAAACACCAATTTTTGTTTTATTTACATTGTAAACACTGTCCCAACTTTTTTGGAATTGATGTTTGTTTCATTGCTTATATTTATATGAAAACACATTTATTGCGTCATAATCATAGATCTTACACATATTTGAACATAAACTGTACACATGACTTACATACCTGTTGGCTCTGTTGCTGCCCATGGTGTCTGCCATGAGGTTGAGATTGGCCGCAGTGAGAGGGGTCAAGAAAGAGCAGTGCTCTCCGTCTACACCCAGAGATTCGGAATCGGCATCCTGACACCCCGCAGTGCACACTCTCATACACAGCACAGACCCTGCAGAGAGAGAACAAGAAAAACCCTGAGTTTTATGGACATTATAAGACAGAAAAAGTTACAATACACTTGGACCAGGTCTCAGTTTCAGCTTATAGCACCTCCTGTGCATTTTTCTGTCACTTTTCTCTAACTTTGCTGTGTCTGAGTTGGCCGATATCTCAGTGTGGTGCTGGTCCAGATCGTGGTGATTTGGGTCAAAGCGAGAGTTAAAAATAGCAGCAGCAGACTAGTGGAAATTTGCTGGGAGGAGAAGGACACATTTAAATGTGGGCTAATGTCATCATCGCTGCCTCATTCTCTCGCTGGGCCCTTCTCACTTCTCACAGAGAGGAAACGAGGTTCACACGCACCCAACTTACAGAGAGAAAAGAGCACAAATGGAGTTAGCACATGCCCTGATATTTTAATCACCAGCAAAAGCCTGGCACAGCAAAGACAGAGCTATCCATCTGGCAATCTACAACTTTATCTGCCTAGTTTTACTGGAGATTCTGCATTATTTCAAGTTAGACAAACAAACAGATAGAATTCCATACTACAGATCAAAATAGAGCTCCAAGGCCCTGCGTTAAAAAACCTCTGCCCTGACCACAAAGCCATGTGTTAAAGCAGAACCGATCAATTATAAATAATGTAAAGGCTACTGTCCTGTTTCTGCTCTGTGTGAGATTGGCTAACCTACTTTGTCTCTCATATTAAAATGATATGAGAAAAGCAACATTTCAGCCTACAGTTTACACAAATTCACACCCTTATGCCAAATGTAGGTGATCAGCCAAAGAAAGTTTTGGTATCTGAAGTGTGCATCTTTAGATTTAGTGCCACTGGAGCAATGAGGCAAATGTAGCTGACAAAAAATTCTGCTTAGATGCTAAGCTCCAGTTAGCATGTTGCTAACTGCATGCCTTAAATCATCACTTGTCTCAAACCACATTTAGTGGTTAAGTAATCTTCAGGCATTACATTAACAAATGGACAAAAGTACACTAGTAGTTAAAACAGTGGCCACAGCCATCCTAAAGCCTAAAATTCCATACTTTTGTCTATTTTTATAGACAACAATGTGTCATACAGAATCAGAAACCACATAAGCAAGTCTATTTAAGATTATTGAACATCTTGACAAGGTTTGAAGCCAGTGTGAATGGTCTAGACATGAAGTTAGCACCTTGCTAGTTGGTGGATATAAGCTTCCATTCCTGGACAGTTACATTAGCCTCTTAGCTTCAGTGCAAAACTAAAGAAACAAACTAATTTAGAGGTTTTAGACTGAAGCCATGGTCAAATCAAACAAGAATAAACTTTGCCTGAAAAAATAAATGCACTTGAATGGAAAAAAAAATCTGATAGCAGTTAATTAATCTAGAACAACTTAAGGCTTTGGAAGCATGTGACAGTTTAAAATAAGAGTATGACCTTTCTGAAAAAAGGTGAAAGAACTGCACCTTAACCAGCACAATATCACAGTTTTTTTAAAAAAAACTACACAGCCAAAACCATATCACACCAGAACTGCAGAAAATAGCAAGGTGAAGAAAATAATGAAGGGTCCGCCCAGTGTGGTCTAAGAGACTTTTTTTAAATGTAGAAGGTGTTCAAACTCATTCATAACACCATATAACAAGCCTGTCTATCCTCAAATGCTGCAAAGTGTCAAAACCACACTGTTTACTGTTTATTGTGCTCCAGCTCATCTGGTTTAATCTGATAGTTAGCTAATGAGCAGGTAAAACACTGCACTGTATAGTCTTGCAGAATTGCCAGTTGGGCTGTTCTTTGAGGTTTCTTGGAATGGAAGTGTTACGTTGTGAATTTTTTCGCCTGTTTATGCTGATTGTTGTCTCAGCTTCTAACGTCTCCTTGTTTTAACTGCTAGCCCAGACAGGCACTTCCCCTTTGGTAAATGTTTGAAATTGTGTGTGTGTCTTCTTGGTCAGCAAACCGCTTTCATTTAAGTGCACACTCATATATATTTACATGGGTCAATGACAAAAAAGGCTTTTAAAATGATAACTGTAAAAATTTTGTGAGCATGGTGTATCTACAAGAATCTATTCAATATGTTGATATTTGTTTCATAAATTTTATAGTGTTAGAAATCATTAAGCATCATTCATTTACCACTCAGAAAATGTCAGGTGGTGCAACCACACATTTATAACAATTATTACATTTTCAAGTTATTTATCTCTATTGAAACCATAGACTAGTATAAACTAGTCTTCTGTTCTTGGACAACCATATAAACCTTTTTCCTTAAAGTCAATGTATATATACATTTTTTCAATCAAAAAAGAAATATTATTATAATAACAACAAAACATTTTCATGGTTTTCCAGGGGTCACACCACCTGGTTTGCCAGTCTGAATTAATCTAAATGATAGCTTTGTCAATATTTCTGAAAGGGCTTCTGGTCTTGGCATCATGCAATGATTGTCACTTGGGATATTCTTAATGATGCCATACCCTGAGCACTTGTTCTTAAAAGCATGTCAAAATAAAGGTACTTCTTGTTGTTGGCCATATTTTGTAACATCTTATGATTTTGAAGATTTCGAATATAAAACTCATGCCAAACTATTTTACTTAGAATTTAATGTGACCAAATTAACCTTTTTAATTTTAAGTTTACTTAATCTTCATATATGGTAAGACTGTTTCACCACAGAAAAAATGCATATGTCATTGACCCACATGCATCTGGTGGTCGGGCTTTGTCTGTGTGTGTGTGTGTGTGTGTTCAGCCTTTGTGTTTAACAGTTTCACCCCTAAATCGGTAGAACTAAATGATCCTGTTAACTGCCACAACTTTGGAGGTGTTAGCATTACCTGCCAATAGAGACTTGAGTTCCTGGAGAGCAGAAAGAGCAGTTGTTTGAGACTGATCTACTGCATCATTCTATGCTGTGTTTGAGGCTTCAGTTCAGGCCCTGTAGCTGTACCCTCAGCACTCTAAAAGAAGGAAAATAATAAAGGATCGGTTAACATCTATTAGAGCTAGTTACTATAAAGAACCAACTGTTCCAATGGTAGTGTGAAAAACCATCCAGAATCTCATGAGGTTTCATTTCATTTCCTCCACAGATTCATTCTGGCTCTGTGCTGACAGAGACAATGTTCCTCCAGCCGCTTCTCTGCCAAGACAGTCACTCTAGGCTACAATGATAGTGTTTGAAGTAGAGTGTACAGAAACTAAAGAAAAAACCATAACAATGGCCAAAACTCTTGAGACACTGAAGCTCCCGTATTATTGAGTATAAAAGAACTGGACAGCATATCTGTATAAAAAACTACAGCACCTAGCCTAGCTCTAAAAGATGAAAGCTACAAGATAGTTTTGAGGTCTTGCACGGTTGTGAGAGTCCCATTTACTCATATTTTGAACTCTTGTTTTTTTCAATAATTTTCATTTGGCTTTCCCTTCATTATGCATGTGGATTATCTTATCTTATATCTAAACTCCTTAGAAATATCTCCTAAAATAGATAACTTGGGCTTTGACCCTGGCACAATACTGCATGTATTATTTCTTAGTCATAATCTGTAAGAAGCACTGGCCAGTAAATGTTAATAATTGACTCCATTCTAATTAATGTGCATTCCATAAAGCACTTACATTCATGGTGATTGAAAGGAAATTAAATATGAGGAGATATTTTATCTTTGAGTCAAAAGAGGAAGTAAAGAAAAAGACTTTAGACAGCAAGCTTTGTGTGTGTGTGTGTGTGTGTGTGTGTGTGTGTGTGTGTGTGTTTTGGAGCAATTTACTGATTCACAAATGGTATGTCTGAACGTTGTCTTACCAATATACACAATCGCTTTCGTACACCTGCTATTCTATCATTTAAGACTTATATAGAATGAAAATAACATAATTACCTGGCTCTTCATTTGTGTAGTGTAGGAACATTATGTTGGGGATGGAACACAAGAACATAGCTATTGGTTCTGCTCAAAGACAGTTGTACCCTGTCAGTTTATTGATCTGTTTTTATCTTATATAAGTTCCAGTTTTCTAACAAACTGATGTGTTTATAAACCATTGCAGAATCCCATGTGTATTTAAGTTAAACATTAGCAGATTTTACTATTTCAGAAGATTTGTGCTTGTTACTGAAGTAGTATTTATATGAAATACATTTTTATTTTGACCTTCAGAGTACTCACTGCAAAGGCCAGATTTTTCTTTTTTCCTCTTGCCAATCAGTCGAGCCCTGTGCATTTTAATTCATTGTTTTTCAACATCCAAACAAAATAATATCAGTGTAAAATAAAACTGCCCACAACTTTGCCAGTTTGTCTTTGTGCTAGGATTAGTACCACAAATCAGCTGTTGCATCACCAAATAAAGAAACCTAATTTATCTTTTTAAACCTTTACTTTTTGCTTTTATATACTTAAGTGTGTTTAAATTGTACTTCTGCTTTCACTCTAGGATATTTTGGGCTCCATCCTCTTATTTTTAATTGAGTACGATTTTGACACGGCACCCATATTTTACTAAAATAGAATTTCTCTACAGTTTTCCCTCCAAGTAAATATGATTTTATGTGTGATTTATATGATTTTATGTGTTATTTTATGTAAGTAGAACTGTTTAAATTTGAGTTATGCTCAATAAGAGCTAAAATTGTAGGTATAACAGCAAAGAATGACCAAAAAAGCATTTCAGCATGGTCTTAGTGATGATTTTAGAAAGTGTTTTGCAACAGTCATGACGTCTTTAGCTCTGAAGCTTTTCCATGTTTAGCACTAAATTTCCAAGTAGCCATTCGGAGGAAAGGCTCAAGGTTGTATTTCAGCCATTGCGCAATCGTCTGACCAAAAATAAAGAAAAAATCCCTTTAATAATCCCTGCATCACAATAATACTCACCAACCTGGAGAAGGGTGTATAAAGTCGGATGGGCTAAAGAAGGTATTATGTGTGGTGAGGGAGGATTGCACACTACTGGATTCTGACCTTTGACCGTTACGTGACTGTTTCACTGTTTTCTTGCTTGTAGGGCATCACTCACCAGCTGTGGTGAGGACTGCTTGTGTAAGTTTTAGGCTTGCCGTGCATGTGTGATTGCATGTGTGAAAGCTGACAGAACAAACACTTATAGTCATGTTAATGTTTAGACTTCCATACATTTTAAGTGTTTTCTGTGCTCAGCATTTGTCCTTTATACAACAGTCCTCATAGAAATAGTCTGATAAAGACGTGATTGTTTTAAAACTTGCTCCTGCTGTTTTAAAGTGAATCCAAAATCAAAACCCTTTTTTTATCCTGTGTATGTTCAACTTAGGCATGATTGATCAGATCATATCAATTAAAACACAAAATTCTTTTTTTCCCATAAATCAAAATGCACGACCTTTGCCTACTTCTAAAAGTTCTTCTGATTTTAAGCTATATCACCATGTGCACAACTTATCATCAGACAAATGCTAGTGCAGAGACCCTGCTGATACCATGTTTCCCTCAGAAATGTCACACTACACATGGAAAATGCATTAAGATTTCTGTTTCATGTTGACTTTAAGCTATACAACATACCATAGTGTGTTCAGAAAGTGTTTACATGTTGATTTTGGGGTGTTTAGTTCTGCAGCATTTATTTGCTTTATTTATTATAGCCTTTCTTCACTGTGTTTATACATAGTTCAGGAGGAACTCAGTCAGTCTAACACTGATGGCGTAGGAAGCAAGACGTAGTGAGACTTAGAGCAAACTGTTAGACCAAACTTTTTTGTATGGCATGGCTGTGGCCAACTACAGCCTTTAAAAAAGCACAACAACTTGTGCATAAGCCGTGTCTTCCTTATTAGCAGTGAACGCTACAATACTTTTGTCCATTTTTTTAGATGACAGTATGTTATACAGTACCAGAAACCACATAAGCAAGTACATTTAATATTACTTTACAACTCAACACAGACTGAGGCATGTGTCTAATGATTTAAGCATACAGTTAGCACAGTGCTGATTGGTAGGGTATAAGCTTCCATTACTTTTTAGTCATGCTACTGTGCAAAAGTCTGCAAGGCACCTTAGCTGTTATTTAAAACCATTAGCAGTGTGTTGTTGTCAGTGACAATACTTTATTACACTAGAATAAATGCCAGTAAATGCTCATTACAGTAAAACTAGTCAAGAGTCATGTCTTGTTTTTTATAAAGTAGTTGATATATTTTGAGCTAGTTAGGAGGTTTGGTTCCAGAGTTCTCTTCATTAGCCTCAGCTCCAGCGCTAAAACGAAAGGAGCAAGCTTCAGATATAAAACGTTCCATGCCAAAAGATCTAAGAGTTTTTATTGTGGATTATTGTAGTTCATAACTTAGTTTGCTTTTATCCTTTTCTTGTAAGTACTTTTCCAACTGTACATTTTTGGATGTTGCTAAATGAGGATAATCACTTTTTTACCCATTTGTCTCTCTGATGTCTTTACAGAGACCCCTGACTGTACAGCACTGCTGTAGATGGACGGAAAAGACAAAATCTACCCTACTTCTGTTCAGAGAGCATCAGGGTCAGATTCTCGGACTCCTGGCCCTGTTCGGACTTCACCTCAGTGGGAACTGACCTTGAATCCCCAGCAATAGGACAAACGTTTTGAACTCACGTGATTTTTTTTTTTTACTTTTTAATGCCGCTGTCCCCTAATTGAATACATTTATATTTCCCATTTAATTTAAAATGCTTCAAATATGCTGATCTTTGCTGAAATGAAATTAGAACAAAATGAAAAGCCAGCTGATTATGCCCCTTTTACATGAGCTGTATGTAAGTTTGTATTTCACTGTTTGTGTGGGTAAATGCTCCATGAAATATAACTATGAAATAGCCCATAATAATTCATCAGAGGTTCCTATGATCTAAATGTCCAGATTAATTACGTCCAGAGTCTAGAATTAGCAAATTCCCCCCAAAATTATAAATGCATAGACATGCTAGCTTCCTAAATGTTTTCTTGCATCATGACACGATATAGACAAAATCATGTGAGAGAGCAGAGGACATTCAGAGCTATTGTCTACTTATAGAATGTGATTACAGATTTCATCTATAGCATACACACAGAAATATCACAATCCGTGGATATAAATCTGCTAAATGTATGCACTGATTGGAATTACATGAGACAGGACGTTATCCAAAAACATCTGGATGTTAGTGGGATCCCCAGAGTGAAAAAATAGCGTTATTAATGGCTAACAGAGATTTAAAATGAACATTTCTGCTCCAGAACAGTTAAAGATTATTACATTTTTAATTGCATTTCTGTTCTTAGTAAAATACTTCGTTTCATATCAGTCACCACTCTCCATCACTTTGTGTGTTATATATGATTAAAGTAAGGCAGTTGTTATTCGATTAAACCTAAAAGCTAAATGAATAGTGAAGAATAATGAAGACATGAACAGTGTGACACTGTGGGGACATTTAGCTGCTCTCCAAAGGCTTTTCATAAAGACTGCCTGTGGTTCCCACTGGGTTTCCACTGTCATAGGAACCCATTAGACAGGTGTGGGTGTGTGTGTGTGTGTGTGTGTGTGTGTGTGTGTGTGTGTGTGTGTTTGTGTTTAAGGTTAGGGTTGGATGAAGTGGATAATAAAGATGGCGATGATGGTGATTGTAGTGATGGTGATGATGATGTCCTGATGGTTGTGTTGATGATGGTGATGGTGGGGATGGTAATGATCATGATAGGGTGGTGATGAGATTATGGTGTTCATAGTGTTGATAATGGTGATGAAAAGGATGGTAATGATTATAATATTTTTGGTGGTGGTGTTGAGATCATGGTGATCATAGTGGTGATAAAGGTGATGAAGGGGACTGTGATGATGATGATAATGATGATGATGAAAGTGTGTTGTTGATGCTAATGGCGTTGATGGTGCGGTGAAGATGGTGATAATGTGATGGTGGTGATAATGATGGTTGTGTTGGTTATGATAGTGATA